AACCTCTGTATATCTTGCATAAATGTTACTTAGTATAGTGCAGTGACAAAGGATGCAGAGTCCGTAGTGACGTAGACGCCGTGACAGCGCGGATATACTCCTGCGGAAACTTCGGCGCAACAGACGTAGGGTCTACACAGAAAGACCGACCCCTCCTTCGAAGAAGAGGAGGCCCCGTTTCGAAACACGTACATGTCTAGAAGAAAATAAAAGTCTTGGTCATGGATCTCGAGGAGATTGAAGCCAGAAATAAGTGTGATGACGCAGGCCAGCAGTAATTTAACCGACTGACTCACCGGTCTTTAAAGTGTTAAATTAATTATGCTGGAAAGTAATTGGTTTCATGTGGTTAATTTCGGCTGTTGATACACGTATCAGAACAAGTACATTTATTTCACGTCAAAATTCTGTGTTCTTATTCCGTAGACACTGGGCCGAAAATTAAATAACCGGATCTCTGCTATCGCTATTTACACATGTCACTATTTGTAAATACGATTCCCTCCAAAAGTATTATTCTACAGAATTAATACACGGATTCAAATGTCTTTAACATGCTCATAACAGTGAGGGTTAATCAATCAACGAAGTCCTTTCTGGAACTGTACAGTTTTCGAGCAAGTGGCCAGCATTTACGGAACTGTTTCCAGAGATTTTCTCAACTCTATAACGAAATCCAAATGTTACCTGATGTGTATTTTTTTTATTGCTAGTTGGGTGGGACTAAGTCCCTTGTACTGCGGCCACTTCTGGCCTATTGTACCAGCCCCCGATGATAGGTGAGGGTGATTGTGGAGCAATTGGTGGAATGAAGATTGACAGGGAAAACCGAAGTACTCGGAGATAAAACCTGCCCCAGCGCCACTTTGTCCACCACAAATCCCACTTGACCAGACCCGGGATCGAAACCGGGCCGCCGCGGTGGGAAGCCAGCGACTAACCGCTTGAGCTATGGCGCGGCCTTATACCTGATTCGTAAGTTCATGACTTTAGGAAAATATTTTACAGTCCTTATTTCATTTTGTTTTTGTTTTGTTTGCTTATACTTCAACATCCATTTCTTCATCCAAGTCGAGTGGTTATGGTGGATTTCATATTTCAAACTGGCCCTCTAAGTAGCTTGCATGCTTCCATAACTACTATAAAAGTAAAGTTTCCCCTGGGCTTAATAAATTAAGTACCATGCCGGTCGAAGTTCGAGTCCAAGAAGGGTCAAGAATTTTCTCCACGTCATCCAGACCGGCTCTGAGGTCCACCCAACCTCCTAGCCAATGGGTACCGGGAGCCATTTCCCAGGGGGTAAAACGGCCAGGGCGTAAAGCTGACCGCTCACCTCCAACTAGTGCCGACATCAAGAAAACGTGGATCTATACATCGATTCCCCCATACGTCTTCATGGTGTAGTGCTTAATTAGTTAAGCACACGGACAACTTACCATGCCGTGAAGTCCATTCTTAACCTCGACACTAGATGGAGGTGAGTGATCAGCTTCACACCTTTGCCATTTTACCACAGGGGAAATAACAGTCGGTATACAAGGCTGGGTGGGCCCCACAGCCGGTCTGGACATTATGGAAAATGGTAAAATCTCTTGCAACTACCAGGAATCAAACCTAGACTCCTCGGTCGTCCAGCCCGTAGCTTATTCGCTATAATGACTGAGCTATCCCAGCTCCCCATAACTGCTATATCCTGATGAAGTATAAAAATCACTTACTGTTTGGGTCATGGATCCATCTCTTCTTCTCGGCCACTTTCAGTGCCCCACTGCTACCCCCCACATTCCGGGATTCATCCTGAAACACAGAATGGTGGCATCTCAAATTTAATTACAGGAGACGCCCATTTCAGTTACCAGACTGTATACGTGCGCATATGCCCGCAAACGTTTGGTCGAAATGCCTTATAAAATGTCTTATAAAAGTAAAAAAAGTAAAGGTATCCCTGTAACACGCCGTGGAGGCCCATAGGATTGTGAGATGTTGAGGCTCCCACGTTTTCTAGACAATCGGCTTATAGATGGCGGCAAGGTTGTCAGCCCTACGCGCCGGCCGCCATTTACCCGCAAGAACATTCCAAGAATATACCTGGTACTCATTTCTCTTAGAGGCTGGGTCGACACCAGGGCCATAGTGCGGCTAGGAGGATTAAGCCAATTAAAAAAGAAATCTAATGACCTCATCGGGGCTTGAACCCGCGACCTTCCGGCTTGTAGCATAGTGCCTCAACATACTACGCTACCGCGTGCCCTCCCCACTAGTTGTATATGATAACATAATAATCAAATGGACATTACAGATGTATGTGAGGTAAAAACGATATTATCTTGATCTGGGCACTAGCTGGAAGTGAGTGATCAGCTTCACGGCCCTGCCGCTTTAACCCCTGGGAAAGAGCACCCGGTACCCATCAGATAGGAGGCTGGATAGGCCCCAGAGCCGGTCTGCAAGATATGAAGAAAATTCTGACATTACCGGGACTCGAACTTGAACCCCTCGATCGTCTAGCACGTAAGCAGGCGCTATACCGACTGCGCTACCGAGGCTCACTCGATGTGAGGTTCGGACCACATTTAACTGACTATGGGTAGGGTCCAGTAGTGGGCTCTTCTGAACACATGGTAATGAACCCTCAGGGAAATGCATTGACCAGCTAAGCGACTATTAACTTCTCATGAAGTCTGCTCCATGGAATTAATAACAGAGACACAAATTAAAGACACTATTGGATGCAGTTTTATTTAAGAAGAGAATAACAATACGTAGCACATAAAGCAGATTTGTGCCATTTCATTTCGATTAGCGATCAATTTATTCAGCAGGAGAAGAAAAAAACGGATAAGTGAAGGACCTCTGGGTTGAAGAAAGCAGTCTTCTGGGATTTGGCACCGTGTATATGTGGTGTTAACCGACGTTTCGGAGGAACGTATCGCCCCCATCTTCAGGGTTGAAGAAGTATAGGTAAATCTGCAAGCGACAACACCGTGAGACACGGTCAAGCAGACTGCTTTCTTCATAGTCACCGCCGTGAAAGCCTCAAATCCGACCTCTGGGTTGACTACAAACTTAAAACTTTTTTCCTCCTAACTTTTATGAGTGCCACAGACTTTCTGTGCGATACTGGATATGGTAAAGGACTGACATCATATTATTGGAGGGCCTACTCTCTTCTCATTTCACAGGCTTATTTGGATTTTCCAAGAACAATAAGCAGCTATGCAGCTTTCAATTCAGACACGGATGCTTCATAGGTGCAGTGATTTAAACAAGGGGGAGCAAAAACACACGTGAGTGTAGCATTAAAAACGTGTTTCGTTTACGTATGACCAGAGTTTGCTGCTTATGTGAGCCGACAGCAGAAAGATGGGCAGATAAATGAAATGACATTTTTGATGGTCCACATTTACTAAATATTGTCATTATCCTAGCCATTCTCTCAAAAGCAGTGAGTTTTATGTAAATGTTGCATAAGACTCATCTTTAAGAGTTCTATCTTCTGGACGGTAACGCCGTGTAGTCTGGTAAAAATCAACTGATACTGGAGAGGAACGCCCCCTTCCTATTCAGGGTAGCAGAGTAACACAAGCAGCAGGAGAGCTCTGCCTTCTGCATGTATCTTGCTGCTTTCTTGCTCGGCTTACTCTGCTACCCTGAAGGCGGAAGCGAAATGTTCCTCCGAAACGTCGGCTGACTATCAACGGAAGACAAAACTCTTAATAACCATCACTGCGAAAATCTCAAACCTTGTAAGTCTTACCACATGTCTCTCATAGATTCCTGTAAATTTGTCCCTGCTTAACTAATTAAGCACTACGCCATGAATGCGTATGAGAGTGTGGATGTATAGGTAGACCCACATTTTCTTGACCTCGGCACTTGGAGGAGAGTGGTCAGCTTCACTCCCAGGCCACATTACCCTTGGGGAAAGAGCCCCCAGTACCCATTGGATAGGCGGTTGGGTGGACCCCAGAGCCGGTCTGGAAAACGTGGAGAGAAACTTCGTGACTCTACCGGGACTCGAACCCCGCCCCCTCGGTCATCCAGCCCGTAGCCAGTCGCTATACTGATTACGCTATCCCGGCTCCTCGTATGTTCCTATAACGTATATTTAAATAATGTTCCTTTCAGCTCCATACTTCCCGAGATATGTCGGAAATTTTTGCAGACAATACAGTAACGTGAGTCTTAAAGCAGAATGAAAATTACACATGACAATGCTCGTACAACAGAAGCGCCGTACAACTAACTTGTAACAACCTGCCGACGGGCTCAAAGGACATGTAAAATTTCACATAGGCCTTTAAGTAAAAGAAGAAAAAGCATTAGGTAGGATTTAAAAAGATGCGCGACATAACAAACAAGCAAGTTCATTTTTCAGTACAGTTTATTTAAAGAAAATAACGGCGTAAAACTGGTATTTAGGCCCTGCAGAAAAGGAATTGTGAACGGAGACAAATACAGATCTCGTAACTAAGCTTGGAGAAAATTCGGTTTCTCTGGCATGTGGAGCGATACAACAAAATATGATTTGAAGACACAATGTAACGTGTTATTTTGTCTTCCCGACGCAAAAACATATTCGCTTTCGACTTTCTTTTTGTAAATGTGGGCTTAAAATAGTTATGACTCGCGGAGAACATGCATATACCTCCTCTCTCCAGCTCCTCATCTTCACAGACACTGATTGCCTGTCCGCTTCTCTTCTGATTCCATTTCAAGAATTCAGTAATTTCGTTTCTCTTCCCGTATCCAAAAACAGGACAAAAATGCACAGTTCACAATTTGTATATAAATTCGGAATTTCGGTGTTTTCAATTGCGTCTTCTAAACAAAATTATCTCTGCAATATAAATCAAGAGAGTGTATTGGGTTACTTGTATGACAAATAGAGAAATTATCCCCAAATTCTTTTATTTTTTTGCCGAAATGAAAAAATGTATTATTATATTCGACATCGGAAAACAATGAGTTTGTACAGTTGTGGTAAGACATAAATATGAAGGCATAAATACTATAATTTTACATGCTGTTTTATGATGTAAATTTCTCTCTTGCCTTAAGAAACAACATAGATTGAGAACTGATAAAAATCCTCTCGTGAGTTGGTTAAAAATTATCGACGTTTCAGGGACGAGATCCTGATGATGGGGACAGGTATGGTCCCTGGAACGTCAGTAATTTTTAACCAACTGACATGACTGATAGTTTCAGAATATTTTATCGACTTTAGCTGCCGTGAGATAAGAATGTTTGATAAAAGGTGCTAAGGTTAACATCTGAACCTGTTGGAAAGGAAATATGAGACAGATGGGAAAAGTATATAGAGATTAAATTCAGCACTTCAAAGCCTATTATTAGAGTGATAAACTCGCGGATAAAGAGAGATATAAGGCATGTAGCACGCATGGGGTAGCCGAGAAATTAATACAAAATTTTAGTTGGTAATCCGGAAAGGAAGAGACCATTCGAGGGTCATAAGCGTAGATAGGAAGATATTGTCACGTGTATGGGTGACTAAGACGCGGGTTTTGATTGGTACTTGGATTTATTGGATACTTACAAGTCGTAACTACAAATAATTATAACACTATTGCGGATTTATACAATTTACAACCACATCTTCTCAGTCTATCTGCACTAGTTCTCACGGATAACACAGGATAACACACTATAAAAGTCTCCCTAAACCACACACTCCCAATATCACTGTATCACAGCACACATCAAGTCTTCAAATCACACGTTAAATCTTCGCAGGCTGACTTCCTGTACTCTTCTTCAACTATGGACTTCCCGTGGTTATCTCCTACCAAGAACTGACTCGTCCTTGAACCGAACGAATTCTGTCACTTATATAGCCGAGGAACGGACACGCATAACAGGAAACACATATCACGTGACCACCACCCACCGCTGCGTGTCGTCACCGCGAACATGGAAAACACAGCCTCCTATATTGTTGCATGTCGGACCGTGTTTATAGAGCTGTTACCTGAGAAGGCATTGATTAAAACCGTTACAATAATAACCCAATTTGTCCTAGAGTGTGAGGACGTGATCTGAACTCGTATGCCTGAAAATAGGGTCCAGTGGCGGGCTCTTGTCAACAGGTAACGACCTTCGGTGCTAAAGCTAAGCTCGGTGTTCGGGTTCTGCTACACCAGTTATCGAACAGTGGCTATAATGCACCAATAATGGAGACAATTAATAGTGGTATTTTTGGGGGCATTCATTGTCTTCGTTATACGTACCACCTTGATCCCATAGACAGCTTAACCACATCATTTTGGATCATTAAAATTTTCGAGCGTTTTATTATCATTAATGTTCAGCTCAAGGAATTCTGTATGGAAGAAAGGAAAGATCATTGCGAATTTCCCAGAACACGCCAGGTTGTATAGAAGGAAATTGGTAGAAAAGCAAAGAGCAGCCCTGACGGCCTAGAACGAAATTCTTTCTGGTAAGAAGAGGAAAACAATACGAGTAGAATGAGAGAGCTGTATAAAAAAGACATAAAATATAAAATCGAAGAAATAATCTGATCGTACAGTCCTTACTGAAGTGTACAACTAAGTGAATAGACAGTACTGCTAAAGAAAATTTTATGACTTACGTACATTATACAAAACATAACTTGTATTGGAAATAATGAAGTGCCTGTCGGGAATGAGAACCTGCCAATAAAAACAATTCTAACTAGATACCATACTCATCCCATTACAACTGTTTCCGTTCGCGACAAATTATTGTATCCGAAAAAAATAGATCGCTCATGACAACACCAGACACAAAATTTA